AGCTGTCCATGAGGCTGTGGGCTTCCTGCTTGGTCTAGGAAAGCCAGGGGCAAACCTAGTGGGCAGCCAGGCCTTCAGTCTCCTCTTGAGAGATGGCATGATGTGAAGGTGGGTTTCTTCTTCCATGGAGCTCAAGGCCTTGGAGGGGCGGGCGTATGGGTCTAGAGTTTCTAGACAAACCCTGTGTTGCTCACGGAGCTTTATCACCAGTGTCTCCCCCAGTTGTACCAGTTTTCTACTGGCTACTGCTACATTTTACTAGAAGAGGCCTAAGACAGGATTTATTATGGGTCTTACTGAGCTAATCAAGGTATGGGCAAGTTGCTTTATATTTTGGAGGCACTAAGAAGCAGTTCTCAACCTGTGGGTCATAATCCCTTTGGGGGTCACATATCAGATATCATGCACATCACATATTTACATTGCACTTCATAACAATAGCAACATTACAGTTCTGAAATAGTAATGAAAATCATTTTATTGTTGGGGGCCACCACAACATGAGGAACTGTATTAAAGGATCACAGTATTAGGAAGGTTGAGGGCCATGCTCTACAGGAAAATCCACCTTCTTGCCAGCTTCTAGATAATGCCCACATTCCCTGGCTAGCTGCCCCTTAGAACTTCAAAGCCAGTGATGGCTGCTGGAGTCTCTAATGTTCTTTCTTGGTTCCCTCTTTCACACTAAAGGATGCTTGGGGTTAGAATGGCTTCTCGTCACATTTTAAAGTTATCTGATTAGCAACTCTGCTTGTATCTGCTCCCCCCCCCTCGTGATACATGACAGGGGCATGTCCAACTACACTTGAGTGCGTGTGGAGGCTAGAGCCAACGTTGGCATTTGTCTCCATCACAGGAGAGGTAAGTAGAACTTTAGCTTTTGAGACCGGGTCTCTCACTGAACCTGAAGCTCACTGTTTCAGCTAGACTGACCAGTAAGCTCAGGCACTGGGGTTCTGGGTACATGCTGCCAACCCCAGGTTCTTCATAAGTGCTGGGATCCAGGTTCTCACGCTGGCATAGCAGGCACTTTTCCCACTGTGGTATTTGAGTGAGAAACATCCCCTGTAGGTTTGCATATCTAAACATTTGGTGGCCAGTGGTGGCACTGTTTGGGAGGCTATGGAACCTTTAGGATGTGGAGTCTTGCTGGAAGTATGTCACTGGAGGAAGGCTTTGAAAGTTCAGTTTCATCCCACTTGCAGTTTGCTCTTTTTGCTTTATGCGAGTGGATGGGGTATGATTTCTCAGCTTCCTGTTTCAGCTGTGAGCTGCCATGCATGCCTTGCCATTACGGACTGCCCCTCTGAAGCCATAAACCAGAACAAACCCTTTCTTCCATAAGCTGATTTTGGATCATGGTGTTTTACGGCAGCAACAGAAAAAGAACTAATGTTCCCACTGAGCCATCTTCTCAGGCGTGTATCTACTGTCTTAAATCACATTTTCACAGGTTCCAGGGATGAAGGTATCTTCTGAAGGCCATTATCCTGACAACCAAAAAGTGGCAAGAGCAGTACTGACATAAAGCAAATGTAAATATTTAAAATAGTTATGTAACAGCTGTTTGTACATTACATAACAGTTGCCGTGTGTCCAGTACTGCATTTAGCACTTTCACAACATTAGCTCCAGTAATCAAATGCCCCAATGAATACTATTATTAGTTTGCGGATGAAGACATTGAGGCTAATTAGCTTGCTCAGGCTCACCCAACCAGTGAAGAGGAGTCAGAAGCCCAGCTACTCCATGTGGTCTCTTAAGAAATAGGGTGCCTTGGAAAGGTCACTCACCTAAGGACAGGACAAGCACCCTCACTTCTGTAGCACATAAGCTGTCTACACTGCAGAGGCAACTGCCAGTGTTCTGACTTTTATGGGGTGTTTGTGGTGCCTCATTAATAGACTATCTGGCTGAGGACTAGTCTGACCAGGATCAGTTTGATGAATAATATATGCAAATATGGAACATTCTATGGACAGAACAGAGGGTCTTGGAAGTTAGCACTTGTCAAACTGTAACATGTGCTAGAATTTCTTCTCAGTAGCTGTCTGCAGGCCACTCTTGAGTAGCAAAGTCCTTAAGCTATAATGCTACTTTCCTATCATTCTGGTGGGCATGTGTCAAATGCCACTAGGCACCATGTTAGTGCAGAAGATAAATAAACTGTCTTTGCTCTTAGGAGGTCATAGCCCCCTTGAGGACCTAGGAAGCTTCTCTGAATTTTCCAAATCAAGGGCAGTGTCAAATTAACAACAAAGCTCCCACAGAACCACCTGCAGGGAATATTTATACAGACTGTGCTGGAAGCATTGATGTTGTGACAGCCTTGTTCAAGAACCTAACAGAGCACTCACTCCGGTCAGGAGAAAAGCAGGTACTTCTGTGAAGCTGAGTCGGTAGACAAAACTGCTGTCAGTGTGCAACGGTCTAGATCTTAGTTGTTTCTCAAAGGTCCATGTATTCAAGGTATAGCCCCCAGCCCAGCACTATCTGACAGGTTTTAGAGTTGGGCTTATTGAGAGCTCTTTTTGGGGGGTGTCCTCGAAGGGCTTCACCACAATCCCAAAAGCAACAGAGCCAACTGATCCGAGATCGCCGCATCCATTTAAATCTCAAGTGTTTGATACAGTAATGGAAAGCTGACATTACTGCAACTTCGCAAAGCCACCAGGACATGGACCACAACCATGCCTATACACCATCTTTGGGTCCCACTTTGATCACGGCAATCCTGTTAAGACTTGCTAGGCACTGGAAAGCAAGGTTGTAAACACAAAGCTGTATGAAAAGAGGTAGCTCAAAAAAAAAAAAGTGGTGGCTGAGGAAAGAAAGCTTGGGTGGACATGCTGAGTACTACAGATGAATGGGAGGGTCTTCTCACCTAAGTCCAAAGCCATTAGTCCAGGACAAGGCAGCTGTTCTCAACTGGTGTGATTTTGTACCCTCAAGAGACATTTGGCAATATCTGAAGACAATCTGGGCTGTCACAACTGATGGAGCACTACTGGCATCTAGTGGGTAGAGGGCAGAGGCACAGAACTGCCCTCGATAACCAGGGATTATGCTAGAAACCCCACCCGGCACAGAACTGCCCACGATAACCAGGGATTGTGCTAGAAACCCCACCCGGCACAGAACTGCCCTCGATAACCAGGGATTATGCTAGAAACCCCACCCGGCACAGAACTGCCCTCGATAACCAGGGATTATGCTAGAAACCCCACCCGGCACAGAACTGCCCACGATAACCAGGGATTATGCTAGAAACCCCACACGGCACAGAACTGCCCACGATAACCAGGGATTATGCTAGAAACCCCACACGGCACAGAACTGCCCACGACAACCAGGGATTATGCTAGAAACCCCACACGGCACAGAACTGCCCTCGATAACCAGGGATTATGCTAGAAACCCCACACGGCACAGAACTGCCCACGATAACCAGGGATTATGCATCTCCAAATATCAACAGCATTGAGGTCAGGAAACCTTGAGGAAAGAATCTATCCTAGGTCAATAAATGAGCACTACCCTGCAGTTTAGGGCTGTCTGAGGGAGCACTGTGTGATGACGTAAATGTTTTCTGTTCTGCACTGTGCAGCAGTAGTGGTTGGCTACTGAACACCTGGAATATGGGTAGTGAAACTGATTTTTAATTTAAAATGAATTTAACACTTTTATTAATGTATTACTTTTTTCTTGAGACTGGGTGTAGCTAATCTCAAACTTGTTTCAGCCTTCCAAGTGCCAGAATTACAGGCCTGGGTCACCAGTCTGGCCATCTTAACTTTAAATAGATACAAACAGTCCGTTGTTACCATGTTGGACATTTAAGCTCCTAGACTTCAATGTTTTTCTAGTTTCACAGGTTGCTTCTTTCCACTTTTCTGAAACCACCTACTCACTTGACTGTAAGATTTGCTTGGGGGGAAAAAACTTCACGTGCTCACACACACATACTCAGCAAAACATTACCAATTAAACGTTCCCTATTTCGAACACTTGGAAACAAAGGAAACAGCAATGCACCATTACACACACACACACACACACACACACACACACACACACACACACACACACACACAATCCTGAAGAAGAGGGAAGGTCAAATCTCCTTTCAAGGTAGGGTGACACAACTCAAGATTAAACACGACAATCCTCTGAGCAGCGGATCATGCTTTGACCTGATTTCTACACTTGGCCACTTAACGGTCTCTTCAGAAGTTAAAAAGAGCCGGCGGGACAACATCACAAGCAAGTCCTCCATCCCTTCAGAGGCCACTCTCTGATCTTAGCTGGCTTTGGCTGAGGCCACACTGAGGATTCCTCGCGTGCCAGGCACTGTGCTAAGTACCGCACACACGTTAAGTCAGTTCATTTTCACTGCGGCTATTTGGGGGCACCAGGAGGCTAAAGAACTTGGCAAAGATGGGGCTCCTGGATTTCCCGCTCTAAAGCAATGCGCTAAGAGCTGAAACCTGAGCGGTCAATACCGAACCTTCGCCCGGGACAAGCAGAGCCGCCTGCAGATGCATAGCCAGGGCGGGGTCCCAGTAGCTCTTACTTCTCGATCTCCAGCGCTGCCACCTTCCGCTTTTCGTAGAGTTTATCATTCAGGGCCCGCACGATGTTGGGCGTGAGCGGCGCGAAATCCTTCTCCGGATTCATGGTGGCAGCTCGCGCTGCGCCCGGGAGCTTCGAGACACCTTAGCCCGAGGCTACCGGGGCCGCGCCAGGGCAAGGGGAGTGTGCGGCTCGGCGCGGACCCCGGAGCCCGTTCATGGGCTACACCGCCCCGGGCCCGCCTGCCTTGTCCTGCCGCCGCGTGCCGCCTCAGGTCCCCTGCCTCAACCCTGCTCTCTCCCACGCGCTACCCGGACCACCCCACCGCACACGCGACCAGCTCCCGCCAGGACCCGGCAACGTTCAGTGGGCAGCGGCCATGTTATCCGGGTCACGTGACGCTGCAGGCACTTCCGCCTTCCGCCGGCCGAGGGTTCCGCCCCTCTGAGGCCACGGCCCCGCACGCTTTCTCTGGCGCATTGGCCACGCTCCTCAGGGCTCCACCCTCTCCCCGCCCGCGGCTCGGTTACGAGCTGTGTGTTGTGTGAGAGAGAACAGGTGGCTGGAGGAGCTCCGGACGTGCTGCCAGAGTTTCATCGCAGAGCGTGCGTCTGGGAACAGAGCTTACAGAGGGAGCCTAGATCAGTTTAATTATGCATTAGTTCTTTAGTCACTTAACTGTCACTTTCGCTTATGCCAACGTTTCCACCATTTTCACTATTTCCTAGCCGCGCGCGCGCGCGCGTGTGTGTATGCACCAAGGTGCGTGTTTGGAGGTTAGAAGACAACTTGGTGGAATCGAACTCTTGTCTTCATTGGCAGTAGATGTCTTTGTCCAGCCCAATTATTTTCGAGACAGGTCCTCAAACTGCCTATATAGCTTTGAGGATAGCCTTGAACTCCTGATCCTCTTGTCTTCACCTGCTGAGTGCAGGGATTACAGGTGTGCAGTACCACAGCTGATTTTACCTGGTGCTTGGTATGGAGACCTGAGGTTAGGTGTCCTCTATAGCTCTTATTTTTTTCCACTCTGATCTTGAGACAGGGTCTCATGTGTCCTAGACTGGATTCAAACTATGCAACTAAGGATAGCTGTCCTGGCTAGTTTTTATGTCAACTTGACACAAACTAGAATCTTCTAAGAGGAGGGAACCACAGTTGAGTCTATAAGATTAGGACATTTTTTATTTGTGAGAACCCAGTCCATTATGGGTGGTGGCACCCCTGGGCAGATAGTTCAGGGTTCTGTAAGCAAAGTAGGCTGAGCAAGCTATAAGGAGCAAGCCAGTAAGCAGCACTCCTCCATGGCTTCTGCATCAGCTCCTACCTCCAGGTTCCTGCCTTGACTTCCCTCAGTGATATACTCCTAATTATGATGTTTTAACACAGCAGTGGTGCCCAAACCTTCAGTAACTATATCCTGAGAGAGCTTGGGTAAGGATTCTCGACACCCAGAGCAGATTCTTAGTTTCCTGTCTCTCGTGCCACCCAGTATAGAGCCAATAGCCGCCATGAGATAATCAGCTTGGCAGGTTCTGGAAGTCTCTCACAAAGGCTGCCGTACAGAAAAGCATCTCCTGGCAGCTGCCTGCCAGAGGAATCCAGCAGCCAAAACAGAGGTGGAAGGTCCTAGCCTTGCTGCTTAACAGTTTAAGGGCTCATGCAGTCAGAAAAAGATTACAGATACTTTGCAAGCACAGATTAAGATGAAAAAAAACCCAAAACCAACAAACCCTCTAAACAGGTTACAGTGTGTTTAAAAATATGTAGGCTTGGGAGAGAAAAGAAAGAGTATATACACTCATAGATTAAAAATATATAATTTTAAAATAAAGTCCTTAAAAAGGGAGCAAAGTAATATAAAAGAAAAAGTCATGGTAAAGATGGAAAATACACATAGAGTCTGTATACTGTATGTGATTGTGTTGTCTTTGAATTTTTTGATGCTGAGGAAGGGTCAATATTTGCCAAGACACAATGGATTGTGAAAGCTGCTAAATTAAACCAACCTATATACTTTAAAAAGTCTTAACTTCAAAATGTAAGTTAAAAAATGTATTACTTTAGGAAAGAAGTTATGCTTTTGTTCCCACAGAAAGTGAGAGGCTGTGGATTTGTCAAGGTTGAAGATGATCAGGGAAGAGGCCCTGAAATTCTGGCTACAGTCATAAAGAAATAAACCTAGAAAAACTACAAAACATGTAACATATATGCTCAAACATAAAATAGAATATTATCTTTGGCTGACTTGTGTACAATGTAGAGTCTATGCTTATATTAATATAGATATGTATGTTACCTTTAAAAGTTTATGGATTTTCATGACAAGGGACTAGAGAACAATAAAAAAATGGATGGCCCAGGTGGTCCAGAATCCAGAACAGCTTCAAGGCTGCTGACTTAGATGATCCAGCCTCACAGAATACTACAGCCAAGACTTAACCATATCCTAAATTTTCCCAGGGTCCAAAAACTACCAGGGCTCCAAACAACTAGAAGTACTCTAGAGAAAACAACACCTACATTCCCAAAATAGGTGTTATCATTTAAGGGTGTTAGATAATGGTAAAAAAAAAAGCATAAACCAAGGAGATGATTAGATCTCAGGGATCTCATTCTTAAAAGAAAAAGGGAGGAATATAGAAATGATAGATAGGGTAGATTATTGAATCTACTTTTAAACCAAAAAAACAACTACTAGTCTTAAATATTTCACATTGGTTATGGATTTTGTTATATTGATAGAAATTTAAAGCTAATTTTGTTATAATGTCTTTATATATTCCTACTTTTGTTTGGGATATTGTGCTTATGCAACTCATTTAAAAATGTAATGTATAATTAAGAATACAAATTAGGCTGGGTGGTGGTAGCACATGCCTTAATCCCAGTATTTAGGAGGCAGAGACAGGCAGATCTCTGTGAGTTCGAAACTAGCCTGTTCTACAAAGTGAGTTCCAGGATAGGCTCCAAAGCTACAGAGAAACCCTATCTTGAAAAACAAAAACAAAAAACAAATTAGTAGTTATCTATGATTGTCAAACTTACATTCATATTAGGTATGTTTTCAAGGTCAGATACATATATATTTAGATAGATTGTCTTTAAACACTTCAGAGATCCATAGTATATGGCATTTAATATGTTTAATAAACTAAGGCTTTTCTTGACAGTGAGACATGTCTGCTCCTGGCAGCACCAACTTACTTCAAAAGAAAATGATGGGCATTAAAAAACCTCTATATGGAGTTTGTTTTCTTTATGGCAGAAGCTAGCCATATGGGCAAAGAAACTGCTCTTACCTCAATTGCTGACTACTGTCCAAATTGGACCAGCAGGATGCAAAAGACGTAAGAGCAAGGTAAACTGGAGAGGATGGAGTTGAGAAATTCCCTGTATGGCACAAGGCTGATTCAGCGCCAGCCAAGAAACCATAAGCAGTTCCAAGAAGCACCCAAACTGTGCCCACCCAGGACAGAGTGACCCCATCCGGGTGGTCAGGCAGTGACTGATTTTGGTAAATAACATCTTGTCATCACAACTGTCCTTGTGGGCAACTGTTAGTAACAATTTGGAAATTCCCCTAGGCCACCTACTCTTACCCAATCCTGAGCAGTCAAAGCACGTACCACCCTGCTTGTGTGTTTTTTTTCCTTTAAAAACCCCTTACAATGAGGTCAGGACCCTTTTCCTGCAGCTGCTGTGCCAGTTTGCTGGACAGGGTCCCTGCTAAGGCTTGTAAAATTAAACCTTATGCGTTTGCATCAGAGTCTGTTCCTTGGTCTCTTTTGGGGTCTTACGAAGTTGGCGTAACAAAGAAAGTGACTGTTAGACTTTGCCAAGACAAGGACAGTCCTTCAAAATTTCCTACTTCACAGGAAAGTCTGTCAGATATAATATGCCTGGAGGTCAGAGTTGGAGGCCCCAGTATTACAGAACTTAGGGTGACTGTCTAGGCAGTCAGATGTCCCTGTCATTAGGTAACATTTCATCTTTTTGGGATCTTTGATAGAGTTGAAGACTATATAATCATAGTATTTTCCTTAGTTATGATAAAAGGAAATAAGTATAAAGCTTTAGAGTCACAAAAATAGATAACAATGTTTTCTCTATTTTTGGCAAATACAAGTAAACTAGAGATTGTAACTAATTCTTACTTGATAACTGTTTTTGTTGTATATAATTTTAGCATGTTAAAGTTAAAACCTTCCTTTTTATTAGACAAAAAGGGGGAAATGTGGAAAACCCTTTACACTGTGTGAATATATGCCACTATGACTGGCTTAATAAAAAAGTGACTGGCCAATAGCTGAACAGGATAAGGTAGGTGGGAGAGACAAACTGAGAATGAAGGGGGAGTCTGGAGTCACCAGCAGACACAGAGAGAGTGTGCTGTACTAAGAAAAGGCACCAAGCCGCATGGCAGAGCGTAGATAAGAAATATGGGTTAATTTAAATCTAAGACTTAGATAGTAACAAAGCCTGAGCTATTGGCTGAGCATTAATGATTAATAGAAGCATCAGTGTTTTTATTTGGGAGCTGCAGGTGGGACAGAAACTTCTGCCTACACAGCAGTTAATACATTCTTAAGATAAAACTAAAAACTTACGATCCTCTGACCTCCACCTCATTAGTGTTGGGATTACGGGGTTCATGTGGTGTTGAGGACTGAATCGAAGGCTTTGTGTATGCTGGTCAGCTAACTGAGATACTTCTCCAGCCCTGACTTTTTCATGACAAAGTCTCTTGCTGAACTTGACATTCATGGATTTGGCTAGGGTAGCTGGCCAGTGAGCCCCAAGTACGGGCCTGTCGTCTTCACTCCCCCACCACACAGCTGCCCGACCAGGCTTTAAGTGGGCACTAGGGATCTGAAGTCAGATCTCCAGGCTTGTGTGGCTTAACATCCTATAGGCTGAGTCAACTCGCCAGTCCTTCAAATCTATTTACTTAAGTTCTCACCTCAGCCTTGCTTGTGCCCTAAAATAATAGATTCAATATGCTTCCTAAGACATATTAAAATATTGGCCATGTAAAAGTGGTATTGTCTCCTAAAATTGCAGATGTTAACTGTAACAGATCCCCAGGCCATAAAACCCAGCATGTAGACAGCATCACTTGCCAAAATGAAAACAAAAACCTAATCCTTTAAAGACCATAGTTCTGGGAAAGTCTCTAAATGCACTAACCTTGCTTTTTGGTTTCTGTAGTTCTTTTCTAGCTAACTGTTCTTGCTAACTGAGCTGTATTGCTAACTGAAATGTGGATTTGTGCTTAAAAGCTCAGCCACATCTGAGAAAGTCTTGGGGCTACACTGGGATCCTGAACCTTCAGCATAGTTGCTGCCAGCTAATGAAGACTTTCTATTGGCTTAAACCTGTGTCTGTGTCTGGTGGATGCCCCACAACACTAGCTGACCTATGTGTGTGCATGATCTGATACCCAGGAGGGCTAGGTTATAGATAGCAGTTCCAAATTTGCTGAGGGCAGGTAGACATCTACATGGAATCATGGGAAAGTAGCTTCTTTGGGTTGTCACATTAAATAGTGGAACAGGACTTGAATGTGTGATAAAATGGGGGAGGGTTGTTGCTGTAGAGTGATTAAAGATACAGTTAACAGGGGAATATACCTGAATTCAACAAAGCTTTCAGAGTTGGGAATTTAGGAGAAGGGGGTCTGGCTTACCCTTGAGTCCAAGGAATACTGCATTTGTTCTTAGATCCAGGATGCCACAATTTTTAACAAGTAAAAAGCACACACATAAAGCTACCATGACCTTGAAAGTGGAGCATCAGCTCTAGCTCACAGATCAGAGACATGGTGAGTGAGGGGCTGTGGTGGGCAGAGTCCTTGAATGTGAACAACTCCTGTAAATATAATGAGCTAATCCAGAATTATTGTGTTCGAGAGCAGAAAAGATTTTGCAATAATGTTGAATTAAAGGGGAGGGGAAAGATTATTGTGGGTTGGCCTGATATAATCAGGTGAGACCTCAAAGTAACTTGAAATTTGATGTGTGAAGAGTTTCCTGATGGCCCCAGGAGTCATATTGTGAGAAATTTATGATGGTAATGACAGTAGTCTCTAGTTGCTGATAGCAGTCCCTTATCATCAATTGCCAAGAAAGTATGATTCCTGTCATAAGACACAGGAAATGAATTTTGACAAAATACAAGGGAAACTCAGAGGCATATACATGAAAATGAGGTTGGTCCTTTGTTTAGGCTTGTGGATCTCTGGATAGAGAACCTGCTCAGTTCACATGAACTCTTGACTCACAGAAACAGAGAGAGAATAAACCTTTGTTGTTTTAAGCTTCTAGGCTGGCAATTGTGTGTTATGTGTCCATAGTAAACAAACATTGGGCCTAATCTAAAACTCAAGAAGTCATGGAGAAATTAACCAACAAAATTCCATGAGTATGTTTTCTTACCCATAGGGTTTTCACATGTGGCAAAAGCGTCCCCAACACAATCCAGTGACTGGAGGAAGGAGCCCCTCGAGCACCCCACTGGTATGAAAACCTTGATAGACGTACATAGACTCATGCCCTGCGAAAAAATGTCTTGTCCTCCTTTTACCTTGCATCAAGTACTTGTCAAGGACATTACACAATGCTGTGCAAAGTTTAGGCACTCTGGATTCCATGATGGTTGATATAAGGAAAAAACCAAACCAAACAAACAAGGTAATGGGGTGGTTGTGATCTGTTTCCTACAATGTGCCTTCATTTCCAGTGAATCCATTTCTAGAAAAATATTTCACCCGTTTTACATTGCTTGTTGGGGTTGGCTTCTTCGTAAAGGTGAACTGAATTTCCCAAGGGTCACACTATTATAAAGCCTTTAATAAATGAAGCTAAGCAGGTTCTTTTCTTCTTTTCCAACCAGCGGGAGCTCTTTTCTCTGGAAACTTCACTCTGAATCAGGTTGCTAAGAAACCAGTTTCTCCATAAAGCCCAAACGAATGCTTTGTCCACCTTCAGGTCAGAAGTTTCTAGAAAGGAACTTCCCTGGTACCTTAGGGATGTAGAATAATTAATGTGCAATGCTGCCGGATGCCTTGGTTGATGGGCTTGTGCATATCATGGTACATGTGTGGAAGTCAGAGGACTTCTTTCCTCCAGTGTGGGTCCAGGGGATTGAGCTCAGGTTGTTAGGTGTGGCAGCAAGTGCCTTCAGCTGCTGGCTCCTACTTAGTAGTATCTTTACTGGCTGTAGAATGAATTGGTTTGACCTATAGGTTTGAGTTTACAAGCATTATAGGGAAAGCTTAATTTGGCTTTTGTTGTGTATAGCATGGACTGGCTGAGGATTGTGAGGGGGCATAAAAAGTTGAAGCTCTTTTTCTGTTGATAAAAGATTTTTAAGGGCTTGGGAGATGACTTGGTGGGCAAGTCACTTGCTGCACAAGTCTGATGATCTACACTTGAAAACAAGAACCTACGTAAAAACTGGAGACAGTAGTGAGTGTGTCTGTAATCCCAGTGTGCCCCTCTTGGGAGACGGCAGAGAGATACAGGAGAATCTCTGGAAGCTCGTGGGCCAGACAGCCTGGCATAAGCAGAAGTGAACAAGAGAGATCCTGTCTCTAGGCAGGTACTGATACCTGAGGCTCTTCTCTGACCCCCATACAGGTGCCATGGCAAATGCATACCCACACCATCACACACACACATAAATGCAGGCACATGTGTGTACACACACAACACCACCATTTAAGTCAATGTGGTACTACAAAGTGTAATTCTGGTACTCACAAGGCTGAGGCAAGAGGAATGGAGTTCAAAGACAACTTGAGCTACATGTTGAGAATCTGCCTTGAAAGAGCCTGGCCAAACCCCAACCAAGCAAAGAGAACTCCTAAACTATCCCCTCCAAGCCTACCATAGGTCCTGGGCTTATTAAAAAGCAGGTTACTGGATTCTAACTCAACAAATCTATTCTGGAGACTGAGTCCTTGGGTCTTTAGCAGCTTACCAGATGCTGCTTCTGGGGGTGGTCCTGGGACCATTTGGACATCTACTTCTTTTTTAGGGGGCAGTTTGAGGCAGGTTTCTCTGTGGCTTTGGAGGCTGTCCTGGAACTAGCTCTTGTAGACCAGGCTGGTCTCGAACTCACAGAGATCTGCCTGCTTCTGCCTCCCAAGTGCTGGGATACAAGGTGTATGCCACCACCTCCTGGCAGACATCTACTTCTTTAGAGACTTAGTTCCCAAATGGCCATCTGCTTTCATACCTCTTGTCTCTTGCAGGTGGGCTGTCTGGAAGCAGGGGGATACTCAGTGAAAGGTTAGCGTCTATAGCAGCAAATCTACTTCAGAGCCAGTGTCTAGCCATATTGATTTAACATGTGGCCCCATAGTCAGTGGTCCTGTTAATGAACGTGGGTGTGGGGTCAGGCCTTTGGGCTGAGGTGGGTGCTCCACACCTCCGTGCGGGTGGAACTTCCTGGGGGACGTGCAGTAAAGACACTTACTGAGATGGCCACCCTTTCAAAGCATGTGGCATAGCTGCAGTTTCAACACAAAATTGAGATAAGGTCTTTACCATGGAGGGATTCCTGACTGAGATGGAGTGTCACGAAGGAATCGCTGGGCTCGCTGTGTGGCCCTGGGTCTCACCCTGCAGTTATGTGTATACACACGCATATCATAAGAATACATGATAATCTTGCTCCAGCCCAATTCAATCAGTATTTGGGGAGGGTATGTTTTAGGTGAGAATTAGGCGACTGTGTGTACAGATGAGCAGAGAGCCAGTGACCTCCAACTGACTGCTCTACTCAGGGTTGGGGAGGAAAGAGGGAGGCATTCTTTCCTCATTAGCATTCTCCAGAATCCAAATTCCAATGAGGATTTACCTCCTAGAGTGAACAGAAATGAGATCTGGAGGCTGATGGAATAAAACACAAGAGAAACAGGGAGGGGTAGCATCCCCGAGTTGCCCTAATGTGACCTGTCCATCACTCTGAAGACGACTATTTCTTTAGCTTTTAAGAGATACCACATCAAAACAGAGTCCTGTGTGGGGGCTGATGACATCTGAAGAAGAATCAGCAGTCCCCTGCACCGACACGTGAAAGTGCTGTGTGAAGAGCGTGAATGGATACCGTGTCTCCTCACAAGCTGGGATCACTGTGAGTGCTTATCTGTGGGGACCACAATATTGAGACTGCCACTGATTCATTTAGCCTGAATGTAGATCTGTAGTGTGCCACTATAAATTTTAATGTGGAACATAAGTTTCATATCTGTATTTATAAAACATAACATAGAAATAACTTCCTCTATAACTGACATATAAGAATGTCCTTGGGAAATTCCCATTTTCTTCTCTGTTCTTTGTTAGGATGGCACAGCATGTGGCTTGTGGACTGAGATGGCATTGGCTGATGAGGTTGTGACTTATGGGGTGATCCCCTTCAGATAATAAACCCATTTGATTCCAGATTCGGTGCCTTTGCACTGAGGGCAGGTGACAATCAGCTTGGTGGTGATAGGGGTTTTACTGCCTGATGGGTTCCCTTCAAAGTAGACTGTGATGTTGTTGATCTTCTTGGGCCGCACGGACTCTGCAGCCCGGATAGTGAAGGCTGGGTTCTCCACAATGAAGGAGAAGTTTGATGTATGCAAGAAGACATTCTTGAAGGGGATGACGATGTTGTATCCGGCTCTGATTAGGAAGGGGCCTTGGGGCTTGGGGGGTAGAGCAATTCCGAAGAGTGGGATGATGTATTCACCACCTATGAGTGATGACAGGCTCAGGATGCCTTTGGTCTCACCTAGGCGACTGGGCTCAAAAAAGACTTCCACGCTGACCTCGGTGCCACCCTGGGCTCCTGGGGCTGCATTAATGATTCTTTCCGTGTGGAAGTCAGGACAGTCTGTCTGAAAGGGAAACAGAGTACCTTGACTCACACAGGATCCTAAAGAGACTTATAGGAGCCCAAACCAAGCCCTTCCACTCTCTGACATTAAAGGATTTATGTTTGTGTGAGGTTGGGCAGGCTGTTATGTGATATCCTATACACTGTGGAGTTGGGGTTTTTTCAGGTAAGCATCTCTCATTACTATTCCAACCTTGGCACTGAGAGATGTTGATAATGCACCGTAAGATGTACAGCTAGATGGTGATGGGGGGGGAGCTGGGACTGTTCTCCATATCTAGTTCTTCTCTCTTTTCATTCACATGGAAGATGGGACAGTCTGACTTGGACAACACTAAACAGTGCCATTAGCATCCTAGAACATTTAATTGTCCACAGTCCCATCAGGGTCTTTTCACCCTTTGAATGCTATGGCCAGAAGAAGCATTTGACATAGGAGTTGTTCTTCAGCAGAATCCTCAAGTAACTGTGATAAACAGAGTCTCCTACGGCCCCTTACTGGATAGACAGTCCAAGCAAGAAATAAACTTTTTTTTCTCTTTTGAGACACCCAGATATCAGACTACACATAACCTAGTCTGTCTTGATTGGTATGACAGCCGAGAGACCCATGCTTCTAGTTATAACCATGGATTCTTGATTTTCACTGGGGACATGATCATCCATTTCAAATGTCTGTCTTCCTTATTCCCCTTGTGGTGGGGTTTAGTCCTGTGAAATTTTGTTCCATGGGATATTGGGAGAAGTGTTGCATGCAACTCATTTTCCCTGCATGAATGTCATTGTAATCTATCTTGGTTCAAGAGGGCCAAAGCAACTCTACAGAACAGAGTATTGGGACAGGAAGAGTCTTGGTGGCTAATGTCACAGAATTGCCATTCTAGACCAGACTGCTCACATCCAGACTATTGTCAGAGGCACACATTTCTATTTACTGTTATTTAGGTTTTCTGCCTTGCATTCCAACTGTCATAATGCCTAACGTGTATGAAATGCTTGCTATGGGCCATGTACTAAGGAAGGAGTAGTCTTTGCAGATATATTGCATGCATGTAAGGGCTCATAGTACTCCTGTGAGGTTGCAGGTCGAAGGCTACTATGACTTGGATGTCTCACTGAAACTCATGATGAAAATTAATCTCCTTGGTGAGGTAATAAAGATGTGGGCTCTCTAAGAGGAGACTGGGTCATTAGGGCAGCCCTCTTGTATAAGTGCATCCATCCATGGATTAGCAGACTGATGGGCTCAGCTTTGAGAGTATATCTGTTTATAAAAGCCAGTTGTTCCCCACATAGATTCACCCCTTATGACTCTGGGACTCCTCAAGTGAGTACTCACCAACAAGAGGACCTTACCACCTGTAGCCCTTCGACCTTGGACCACTCAATTTTCAGAATTGTGAGCTGAATAAACTGTTATTTATTTATTCATTTTATAAATTATCCATCCTGTGGTTTTCATTTATAGAAACAGGAAATGGCTGAGACAGGGCCATTATCTCCATTTAGAGTCCACTCACCCTACAGTCCTCTTATCCCACAGCCTGCTCACCCAGCAACCTGTTATCCTGAAGCCCGCTCACCCTGCAGCCCGCTCACCCCACAGCTCGCTCACCTTACAGTAGTACTCTGTCTTCTGCCGGGTATAATTGGTGAACTTGGCCAAGATGCTTTGGTTGCTGCCAAGAACGGTCTGGAAGTGGACAGTTTTCTCTGGAGGTGCAGGCAAGGCCTTCAGAACTAGCTCGTACTGGTAGTAACCCAAGTCACTGTTGTGCAGGGTCAGTCTTCCAAAGGTTTCTCCAGCTTTCAGGGGCTGGAATTCAAATGAGAATGCTCCCTGCAAGAGAAGGCAAAGGCGCTTGTTATGTGGGAGGTTTGACCCATCATCTCCCATCAAGTGACCGACCCCAGGCCTTGAAGCAGGTGGTGGCAAAAATAATGCTTCAGATACAAATACTGATGCTGACCCTGAGCGTGGAAACTTCAGCCCAGGTTAGCCCATTCTCTCTCCCTTTCATCCTCCCTGGCTTTCTCCATTCCAGTTATTTCTCTGACTCTAACTCTAAGAAACAGGTATTAGCCCCTTTCTAGGGAAGCACATTTATAGAAACCAGCAGGCAGCTAAAGGTCAGACAGCCCCTTCTCCACACACAGTCATTCTCAGAACAACTTCCTGGGTTCCATCTTTACTGGAGGGGAGACATTGTCTCTCCCCCATTCTTACAAGATGAAACTGAAGGTATTGTTTATAATATCAAAGAGAGAGAATGACTCAAAAGCACCACTAGTAGGAGATTGGTTTAATGATTTGGGAGTCTTCCCATCTCAGTAGAATATCATACAGTCACAAAAGAATGAGGCAGAATTGTAATGAGAGATGTTGATGTTGTAGGTAGAAGAAAATACATAAAGCTCATACTTGTTTATTAGATATTAACTTATTCTGTGTATGCACATATGTGCTTGGCTAGAGGGCAACTTTCTGCATTTGGTCCTCGCCTGCTACCTTGTGACACCCGAGGATCAAGCTCAAACTGTCAGGCCTGTGTGCAAAGCCTCTGCCCACTGAGCCACTGTCAGGCCTGTGTGCAAAGCCTCTGCCCACTGAGCCACTTTGCTGGCCCATTTTTGTTAATTGTGTACAAAAGAATCTGTGAGAAAAGCTATTCCTAGGCAGGCAGTAGCAGCACACGCCTTTAATCCCAGAATTCGGGAGGCAGAGGCAGGAGGAGTTCAAGGCCAGTCTAGTCTACAGAGTGAGTTCTAGGACAGCCAGAATTGTTACACAGAGAAATCCTGTCTTGAAAAACAACCAACCAGAGGGAGGACTGATGACCAAAGGGATTAAGACTGGGCTGGTTAAACCCTAGAAACAGCTGACCTGACAAAGGTTAACTCTTGAATCCCAGGCTGATGCCTGGGAATCCAGCATGGGACTGATCAAGACCCCCTGAACGTGGGTGTCAGTGAGGAGGCCTAGGTAATCTATTGAGCCTTGGGTAGCAGATCAGTACTCATCCCGAGTATACACATGGACTTTGGACTCTCATCCAACAATGTGAGATGCACTCTCACCCTGAACTCTTGGGGGAGGGTCTAGGCCCTGCCCTGGATGAAATGACAGACTATGGACACCCCCATAGAGGGCCTCACCCTCCCTGGGGAAATGAGGGGACAATGGGGGGGTTGGGGGGGAGGGCACGGGAGGAGGGGAGGGAAAGGGAGAGGGACCTGGAACTGACTTTCGAAGCAACCTTGTTTTTAATCTAAATTTAAACTTAAAAATAAATAAAAAAATAAAATAAAAAAAGAAAAACAAGCCAGGCGGTGGTGGCACACGCCTTTAATCCCAGCACTTGGGAGGCAGAGGCAGGCGGATCTCTGTGAGTTCGAGGCCGGGCTGGACTGACAGCCTCCAAAACAATACAGAAAAACCCTGTTTCGTAAAAAACAAACAAAAAAAGAAAAACAAACAAACAAACAAGAAAAACAATAACAACAATAAGAACAACAACAAAATTCCTGGTGTTACGTTTGGGAGGAATGGGTATGGGATTTTTTTACTATTTCATATGCTTCTATATAGCTTAAATGTTTTTACCATAATAGTTATTAATAAAACACAAAAAAAACCACAGGCTGGAGAGATGGTTCATCAGTTCAGAACACACTGTTCTTCTAGAGGACCATGGTTCAAGCTCCAGAACCTACATTAGGTGGCTCACGAACACCTGTGGCTCTCGACCACCTGTGGCTCTATCCCCTAGGGGAATCCAATACCTCTAACATCTTCAGACACCTGCACTCATGGGCACATACCCCACCCCCACATGCACATCATTAAAATAATTTAAAAATTAAAATAAGAACAATTCTTATTGAAAAGTAGTTAGAATAAAAAGAGTGTCACTAAAGCTGCAAACATTCAGCAAACAGAATGTGATACAAAAGTGGTTTTATAATTAAAGTTGACATGAATAAATGAATGCAAAAACAAATACAGCTTACAGAAATATACTCAAGAAGAAACAGAAAGTCTAGGTAGTAGTATAACTGTTAAAGACATTTACTCAGGAGCCAGGGACTAGGGGTATAGATCAAGTAATAGAGCACTTGCCTAGCATGCCTAAGGCCCTAAATAGACTTTCCAGCATTAAAAAAAATCAAACTGGGCAACGGTGGTCTAAACCTTTAACCCCAGCACTCAGGACAGAGGTAGGTAGATCTCTGAGTTCGAGGCCAGCCTACAAAGAGAGCCCCAGGACAGTCAGGGCTGTACAAAGAAACCCTGTATTGAAAACAAACAAAATCAGTGGCCAAACCTGGTGACGACGGTCTTATAACTAGCTAATGGAGAGTCTGAGACAGGAAGAGCACAAGATCAAGACCTGTCTGGGTTAGAGAGTGTGTTCCAGTCCAGCCAGAGTAATTTAGTGAGGACCTGTCTCAAAAAAGCAGGGGTGAAGGGGTATGGGGAAACTGGCTCTGTAGCTCAGTAGGACGAAGAAGCTTTTCAAGAAAGCACAAGGCTCAGGGTCTAATCCCTAGCTCTTCCAATTGTTTTCCTCCTTAAGTAAATTCCAGGGCAGGGCGGAGGAGAGCTTAGTAGATAAAGCCCTTGCAGGTCACTCCTGAGAGGAGGCAGTAAGAGTATGCCTGCAAGCTTCTGTCTGGTGCACGCCTCTCTCCCTTGCAGGCTAGCCACGATCCCTTACATCTTTCAGTCTAGGGAAGTGGGCCATGTTGGAAAATGCTTTGGGGAGAGCTTCACATGATGACTAACCGAGGCCCAGCCAACTGCCAACAGGGAACTAAAAGCCTTTCCAGCAACCCCGTGCCCGAATCTGGAAGCAGATTATCTATTCTCAGGTGTGGTACCAGGTCGACTGCCAGATTGGAGCCTCATGAGACACAGCCCCCCACCCCATCACCACCCCCCAGCTAGAGTCCTGATTGTGCAGCCAGCAAGCGTTTGCTGGTCCACAAGATGCTAAGTTCGAGAGTAATTTGTTATGGATCAACAGATAACAGATGGCCGATTTTTAAAATAATTGATAGGTTCAATGGAATTCCATGCAAAATCCAGAGTTCTTTTTATTTGTCTTTATTCCTTCTGAGCAACTTGGTTTCAAAATTTACATAGAAGTGAAGAGTCAAGAATAACTGATATATTCCTGAATAGTAGCAAGAGTGCAAGCTATCAGCAGAATAATTGGTCGACAACTCTATTTAATGTCAACCAACCCTTCTCTAAGTATATTTTAATAAAACAAAGAAGTCTTGGCATATTCCAGCAGGGGGAAGATGAGATGAGGTTTTTTTCTTTGCTTCTTTTTTTTTGAGACAAGAAGCTCAAGGTGGTCTCAAACTCAATACATAGTTGAGGGTTATCTTGAACTTCTGATCCTGTTTCCCATACCTTTGGAATACTGTGATTACAGACATGTGCCATCATGCCCAGTTTAAAATGAGAATTTTAGCCTGAGATGATTCATATTGACTTGGGGGAGCAAAGTGAAACTTCTACTCATATTATACATAGAAACCAGTTCTCCAGGTTTAGGGTAAAAGGATAATAGTAGTTACAACATTGTTTGGATTCACCTCCAATACCTACTCTACGCTCAAACACATAGATCAGTGAGGCTCAAAATAACAAGAACAAGCTAATATCTATAATGAAACTAAGTATAAAGATGACTTCAAACTCAGATGTGAGTTGATAGAGCCAAAGTTCCAATATCAATGAGCCTGCATGGTGGGGGAGCATCATCACTGAGAGCCAGAGAGCCCAGATCACCCTTGAGTTGAGGGGGTCCACATAGCCTGGAAAGCTTTGTGGGACACTCCAGCAGAGGCTGGATTGGTGGTTTCCATTGACCTGCAAGCTGTTGTAATAAGATTAGTTTAGTGGGGGCAGTAGAGAATATTGGAACACTTGAAAGGAGAGCCTGAACTGGTCAAGCGCTGCAAGCAAAATAAGATCATGAGTTTGAGTCCATTCTGGGTGACACAGTGAGACCCTGTCTCAAAGAAGCCAACCCAAAACACCACCACCAAAAACTGAAGCCCCCTTCTGAAGCAGCCTGGCTTGGGGAGAAATCGTTGAGAGTACAACTTATTTGACCACATAAAGATATAGGAGACAAAGGACAGATACAATCTTGATAACAATGGGCAGGAGAGCAGAGAAAACTAACTTAGGTCCTGGAGATGAAGGGATGGAGTGGGGGAACGGGCATAGTTGGACAAGAAAGATCTTGGGAGGTAGGGAAGTTTAGACAGTGAGTTTTGGAATGATAGACTGATAAAAGGAAGAAAAAGGAAAGCCCACATTCTCCTTGGTTCATAATTCCTCACCATGTTCCCTTAACCATGGTTGGAGGTTGTGTGGCTCT